GTCTCTGGACTAAAGATTAATCTTCACAAATTAGAACTTGTGGTGCTTTGTGATGACTATGGAAATACTCGTGTTCAAGTTATGGGCTGCAAACTAACACAACTCTTGATCACCTATTTAGGGATCCCATTCGACATTAAATCTAAAGACAAACATTGTTGGGACTCGGGTCATTGATATATTTCAAAATAGGCTCTCAGATTGAAGGAGAAGATATATATCTAAGGGGGGTAGACTAACCTTCATCAAGAGCACTCTCTTTAATCTTCCAATATGCTACTTATTCATCCTCAACATCCCCATTAGCATTGCCAATAAATTGGACGCTATTCAGTGTAACTTTTTATGGGGTGATGATGACACTAATAGAAAATGCATCTTGTGAATTGGGTTAAAATTGAAAGACCATTAAATCTTAATGGTTTGGGATTGAGATCTCTCACTTTTCTTAACAAAGCTTTGTTGGGTAAATGGATTTGGAAATTTTGGAATGAAAGCAATAACTTATGAAAATCAATTATTTTGAACAAATAGTATAATTCTAGTGATTTTCACAAGATCAAAAATAGGAAATATGGCTCTAGCCTTTGGAAGGCTATTTGGCATCTAACAGCACCATGCTTGAGAACTCTATATGGCAAATTAGCAACAACTTTAATGTACATTTTCAATCTAATTATTGGCTTGTTACAGACACTTTATCCTCTAGATTTCCCCGCATCCATGTTATTTCGTGTGACAAAAACATGCTAGTTAAGGATGCTTTAGACTCTGATCTTGTCGAACAATGGAACATCATGGTTACAAGGAACTTATAGGATTGAGAGATTGAGGAATTTGAGGGTCTTCTACATTCTCTTAACTTTGTTTAACTTACTGATAAGGAGGACAAAATGTGATGGATGAATTATAAAATCGGTAAATTCATTATCAAATCTCTTTACAATATTCTGCTAACAACTCCACCCCTATCATCAAACTGTTCCCCTATAAAATTATTTGGAAATCACGAGCATCCCCCAGAATATCTTTCTTTGCTTGGGAAGCCGCCAAAGGCCGCGTACCCACTACAAATAACCTCATGAGGAGGGGCATCATCTCTATTAACAGATGTTACCTTTGTAAAAACAACATAGAAACTTGTAACCATCTCCTTCTTGAATGCTCTATTACTCAAAAGTTGTCGTCCATTGCACTTGGCCTGATCAGGTTGTCTTAAGCTAGAAATGACTATACTTTTAAAACTTTTTGCTTGTGAGGTCTTTAGTAACAACAGAAAAAATCTCAAACTCATTCCCTTCTCTATTTTTTGGGTTATTTAGAAAGAAAGAAATAATTGGGTTTTTAAAGGAAAAAAATTTTATTTCAACCTCATTTTAGACAACTGATTTCACTATTTTGGTTCAATTATTTTGGGACATACCATTAATTGTCTAGATGACTTAGGTAACATTGTTGATATGTTAATCAACTTGTAAATCTTTTATATACAGGCGGTGCCCCCTTGGCACCATTAATTAATATAAACTCTTACACTTTTGTTTTTATTTTTAAAATAAACATATATCATAACCTACTTTATTTATTTACATTCTTATACATTCACAAAAAAAAAAACTTAAAAAAATCATGTGGAGTCCACTAAGTTCTCTTTTGATATTGTTTTTGAAATACTATCTAGATCATCAATAAAAACTATGACAAGATGCAAACTACTTGACAAAGAATGCAACAATCTAACATATGAATCAGCTTTTTTACATGCCCATAGCCAAAGAGATAAGATTTTAACAGGTTGTTGCATCCAAAGCATAGGTAATTGTGGTTACTATACAGAGTTTTTTTCCCATTTTTAAACCTAATTTTGATTTCAACATGAACTTTAACTTATTAGCTACTCATTTATTGAAGGTTGAAGCATGCGAGTAGAAACAAGGTCTCTTTCTTTGTGTAGACACCAATCCATTGAGGATTCAAATCCTATATATTATATTTGTAGGTCTACTATTAAATAATGATGGGTATTACCCAATTCTAAAACTCATTATTATACAATTGGAATTACCATAATAGCAGTTCGGTCAAATCCTTTGCATTATAAAATTTTCAGACTACCAAGTCCAAGATCATATAAGAAGGTTCCTACTTATCATTGTGAGAGTTTTGATTCAAATATTTGGGCATAGAGGAGGCCACAAGATGTTAAACTTCATAGTAGTGAATTCATTACACAACGTGAACCTATTGTACTTGCTTACAGTGTATGTCATTGGCTCACGTTACATAATTATATACTTGCATCCATCAAGACATAGAGACTTGGGATAGGATTTCACTACCAGAGGATGCGACAACTGAGCGGACGAAGCTCGTGAACCATGAAGGAAAGCTTGGCTTATTAGTAAGTGCTTGTAACATGAGAGATTATATTAAATTTTGGTGATTTACGATTATAGTAAGAAAATATGGAGTAAAAGATTTATAAATGATTTAAAAGATCTAAAAAAATGAAAAATTTAAAGTGATCTAACCTTAAATCATTTTAAGGTTTAAATATTGGAGTTTTCATAGATCTTTACCATATTATATTTTACAACTTTAAGGATGGTGTTTTAAATCTCATAAAACTAAAGAATTGTATATATTTGTATGATTCTATTTTCATGTTTCAAATAAATTTTAAATCTATTAACTTGAGTGTCATACGGATTTAGTTTTAGAACTCTATGATATAAAAGCGAGAAGTGCAACAACATTTATATTATTGGAACATTCAGTAATTTTTATCGTTTTCATAAATTTAATTAATTTTTTTTACTTTTTTCTTAATTTATTAAGTAGTAATCATAATTAAAGTAATTTTGGAACGTATATATGAATATTATATAATTTATTTTTCTTAATTTAATTGCTATAGTGTATTTGGAGCAATGCTAAAAATTTTAATATAAAAAATAAAAATTATACAATATAAATAAAATGCAGAAATTAACTTTTGTCTTTGTTTCTAAGTTAAGATTCAAATTGAATTTTATTCCCGTAATTTTTTGGTATAATATAATAATTAACTCTTTAATTAAAATAAAACTTATTTATTAATAAATTTTGTATTTATAATATGTTGAAATTACTTCCAGTAATTTTTAATATTTATTAATAATTTTAATAATAATCACTTAGTATTATAAAATAATTTATTAGCTGTAATATCAAATAATTATTAAATAAAATTGAGAAAATTATTTTTAAACGTTAAAAATTATTAGAAAATAAAGTGGCCGGAGAACTTCCCCCATCTCGCAGTCATGGCTGTCGCTCGCCAAGCTTTTTCTTTTGGGTTTATCTTCACTAACATCAATAAGTATCCATATCGCCATGACCTTGCTTCCAAATCTCTCCTGTTTCTCTGCTCCAATTCTTTTACACCCATCTCTCTCTCTGTACCTCCATCTTCTTCGCCCTCTTACCATTCTTCATCCCCTATTTTCCTCCCTTTCTTACAACAACACCCAGAAACTAAAAACCATGAAGAAGAAGACAATGGCGAAGAAGAAGAAGGAGACGAGGAGGGTGAGCTAAAAGACCCGGTGCTTAGATTCTTCAAGTCTCGCATCTCCACTAAAGACCCGCCTCGAGAGGGAAAATTCTCTCTCCAAAAAAATCGCCGTTCTTCTTGGCATCTCGCTCCCGACATCAACTCCATCCATGAAGCCGAATCTGATACTGAATCAGATAATGAAAACATTCTCACAGAAAAGAAAGGAGAGATGGGTCCTTTAGATACCCATCCGACTGCATTACCAAAGGGTGTTGTGGGAGAAATTATGCAAGTTGTCCAGAGTCTACCGCAGAATACCACTTTAGGGGAGATGTTAGGAGGTTTTGAAGGAAGGGTTAGTGAGAGAGATTGTGTGGAGACGTTGGTCCTGATGGGTCAACATGGTCAACTGACTTGCTGCTTGTACTTGTTTGAGTGGATGGGATTGCAGGAGCCATCTCTGGTAACACCCCGTGCATGTTCCGTTTTGTTTCCATTGCTAGGAAAGGCAGGGATGGGAAATGAGTTGGTGGTTTTGTTTAGGAATTTGCCTCAGACGAAGGAGTTCAGGGATGTTCATGTTTATAATGCTGCCATTTCCGGTCTTCTCGCCTGCGGAAGGTATAATGTCTTTTTTGTTTCTGATTACCTTGTTTTGCTCTTTTGTTTTTTGTTTTTATAATTCTTTCTTGGTTTTTCTTTTTGTTATAGAAGTTTGAGTGGAATCTGCAGTTGGGTTCTTGAAGTTTGATACTCAAAGTCTATACTGCGTACTCAAACCTAAAACTTTAGTTACTAACTAGGTAGTAAAAAAAATTTATCAGTGGAAGCTATTGATCTAATTTAGAAGCAACATCCCTAAACTGTTAGAGATCCTATATTGAATAGTAGTGATTTGAGGAACCTTAAAGATATTTTGTCTTCTGTTTTAGAGATCCGTTGTAGTCTCTTATAAATGGGTGCCTGTGGATGCTGTTGTCTTTTCTGTTTTTTCTCTTTAAAAAAAAAGTCTTTATAGAGGCCCCCCAGTCTTTTCTTGACTTAAGTTACGTGTCTTACTACTGGTAAAGTATCCTTTTTAGCAACCTGTCATATTGGCACTGACATTACCTTTGGCCTTAAATACTTGTGAAGAAACATGGTAGGTATTGATCTAATAACTCTAGAAGCCGTGGTTTTACCTCATTAAATGTAGAGTTTGGCACTAACTTAATTACAGAATGATTTGGGTTTGCCTGGTTCACTTCAGCTCTTTGATTCTTCTTTAGTTCTCTTGCAAGTTAAGATTAGGCTTGAGATTTCTATTAACAGTCAGCTATTCTTTTTTATTGTAATTCTGAATAGGTGCATAGGCAGACATCTGAGAGATTGAGTTTCATGTTCTTGTTTGCTTTATATGGTCATGAGGTCGTTTCTTTTTTGCTGTAAAATATGCGGTGTAAAATATCTTGTTTGCATGTTGATTGCGAGGAACTTTGATGGGGATTTAGATTTGTGGCATTGTCAAAAATTGCTGTTCTTGGTACATGTGCCTGTTTGGTTTCACAATTGGAGACCACTTCTGTGAGTCTTCAAGCTAAAAAGGGGAATAAACATTTCTATATGGTAACATTAAAACTAAAAAAACCGCTCGATATGATTTAAGTTCTTGGAATTAGCTGTGAGATGGATATCTCTTTTTATCTCTCCAATTTTAAAAATATTTTCAACATATTTATCTCAAAAAAAATATTTTCAGCATATAATTTACTGCTTTACACAAGGGTCTAGCTTGCAAAAGCTGATAGTTGATTTTGCCTACTTCCATCAGATATGATGATGCATGGAAGGCAAATGAAGCAATGGAAACAAATAATGTCTTTCCAGATCATGTTACGTGTTCTGTAATGATCACAATCATGAGGAAAGATGGCCATAGTGCAAAAGATGCATGGGACTTCTTTGAGAAAATGAACAGAAAAGGAGTCAAATGGAGTCCAGAGGTTTTAGGTGCTCTAATAAAATCATTCTGTGATGAGGGGCTGAAGAATGAAGCCCTAGTTATCCAATCAGAAATGGAGAAGAAAGGCGTCCCTTCAAACGCCATCGTTTACAACACTTTAATGGATGCTTACGGTAAATGTAATCAGATTGAAGAAGTTGAAGGCCTCTTTGCTGAGATGAAAGCTAAAGGCCTTGTGCCTACATCTGCTACCTTTAACATTCTCATGGATGCATACAGCAGAAGAATCCAGCCAGAGATCATTGAAAAGTTGTTGTTAGAAATGCAGGGAATGGGTTTAGAGCCAAATGCTAAATCATATACGTGCCTCGTAAGTGCATATGGGAGGCAGAAGAAGATGAGTGACAGGGCTGCAGATGCATTCTTGAGGATGAAGAAAGTGGGTATAAAACCAACTTCGCATTCATATACAGCTCTAATTCATGCATATTCAGTCAGTGGCTGGCATGAGAAAGCTTATGTTGCATTTGAAAATATGCAAAAAGAAGGTATAAAACCCTCGACAGAGACGTACACAGCTCTCCTGGATGCATTTAGGCGTGCTGGTGATACACAGAGGTTGATGAAAATATGGAAATTAATGATCCATGAAAAAATCAAAGGCACTCAGGTAACTTTCAACACTCTTCTTGATGGATTTGCTAAGCAAGGCCAGTATGCTGAAGCAAGGGATGTGATCTCTGAATTTGGAAAGATGGGCTTACAACCAACATTGATGACATATAACATGTTAATCAACGCATATGCACGAGGCGGACAACACTCAAAATTGCCGCAACTTTTAAAAGAGATGGCAGCTCTCAGTCTAAAACCTGATTCCGTTACCTATTCAACCATGATCTACGCCTACATTCGAGTTTGTGATTTCAAGAGGGCATTTTTTTACCACAAGCAAATGGTAAAAAGTGGACAAGTGCCAGATTTGAAGTCTTATGAAAAGCTTAGGGCGATCTTGGATGTCAAAGCTGCTATGAAGAATCGGAAGGACAGGAGTGCTATACTCGGAATTATCAATAGCAAACTGGGTAGGGTAAAAGCTAAGAAGAAGGGAAAGAAAGATGAATTCTGGAAAAATAAGAGAAGTCTTAAGACCTAATAGTACTCGCCAGGATGCATAGTGACATGATTGACAGTAGAGATGTTTTTCTGTAAGTCTTTACTGAGATATTAAAATACAATCTCAGCAGCTGCCACCAAGCACAATTACAATTAGGTTTTTCACGGTGAAGGATTCCTAATTCCCCAATGCTGTTTTACTTGAATAGTCGATTCAAGCAAAGTGCCAGTTTCTAGATGCTACTACCTGGTAATTTTGGTTGTTCATATAGAATTATGCTCTATATTTTTTCGGAATATGTTTGAATAAATAATTGAAAACAAAAATGTGTGTGAACATCAGAAGTAGTTTTCTTTTTGCTATATGTTTCAAAAGCATGAAGAAGCAAATGCTAAGACAATCTGGTGGCGGTGATGAATGAAGGTGGAGGGTAATTGTGGTAGATCCTGAATTGTCTGAACAGATTGAAGGGGTCATGAGGATGTATATATGCTAGTTATGATTGAAGGATCTGTAAGTTAAGAAAAAAGAAATAAAAGAATTACACGTTTATATTTATTTATATAAAAAATACATTCTATATTTTTATGTTATTATTTTTTATACAATCAATTTACTTATTTTTTTTTCTTCATATTTTTAAAAATTAACAATATCTAACATAGTATAAGTAATAAAATATTTGTAACAATTAAATAGTACTTCCAAACATTTCTATTTAATTTTTTACCTATATTATTTGCTAATTTACTTATTTTACAGCTTTGTCATTTCTCTTGCCAAATGCCGCTATTCTATTTATTGGGATTTTTAACTTTTTTCTAATATTTTATGCCTTTAATTTTATGTTCTTTGATAGTACACTATTTGAGTTATTAGTTCGATACCATGTTGTGTGCCATAAATAATAAATGCTTTTGGATAGTACAATATTTGAGTTATCCTCATTAATTTGATAAAAATTAAATGATTTTTTAAGAATTGTCGTCATTCTTGATTTTTAGATTCTTAATTGAAATTTGTGGTTAAATTTCACGTAAAAAATTTAAATAATGTAATTTAAAACACTTCTAACTTTTTATAATATTCGGGTTCGAAAAACAACTTGAGATAAATTTTTTATTTTTTAATTATTAATTTAAAATAATTTATTTTATTTTTATTTAAGTGAAATTTAAAAAAAATGAATTAAGGATGAGATTGAAAATAATTTTAAAAAAAATAAGTGAAAATTTGAATTATATGAGTGTTTTTGAAAGAAAAATTAGAAAGAGTGAGTTAAAGTGCAAATAAAGAAAATTTGGCCACATAGAACATCCTAGTCAACAACTTCGACGAACCGAAACATGCCACGTGGCAAGGCGCGTTTACTTCGGTGCCACGTGAGAGGCCACAATGGCGATCCATGTGCTCCGCGATCGAACGGTCCGGATTTATTTTCTCCTCATGTGTGATCGGACGGTCGAGATTAATCGCAATGAACGGTTCAAATTCGTTTGTCTCCTTAGGCGCGATCGAACAGTCGAGATTGATTGCGACTGACAGTCCAGATCAACATGGGATGATTATAAATATTTTGCATCACACGGGAACCTAAACCTTAGCCACCAGCCCTCGCCGGAGAAGAAGACCGATCGCCGACCGCTGACCATCGTTGTGCCGAAGCCACCCCCAACCACTAAAAAAGATAAAAATTCCCTCTACCCACTTAGAATTCGATTCTGAATAACTCTATGACCAAATCGAAGTAAGAGGGACACCGGGTGAATCGGAAACTACAAACAAAGCCCAGCGGAGCCGCCGCGGCTAAAACCCCAAAATTCCTCCGATGAGTCCCTTTCTGATTCCCGTTTTACGTAATTTTTCGATCATTGTATTCACCGTCTTTTTCTGTGTAGGATAGTCAAAGAAAGAACCTTAGCCGCGAAGGGGGATCGACGGAATTGCTGCACCCGAAGGTCCCCCTGCCAGTAGATTCAATTTTTTTTGTGATTTTTCGGCCAAGCGAGTCCCCTAACGTATTTTTCTGCAGTGATACGATTAAAACTGGTCAAAATCGGTCAGGCCTAGGCGAATCGTTGTCATGGGCGGCGGAGCCGATGTCGGAGCATGGCAGCGTTGTCGTGCCAGAACTCCAAAATTGGCCATAATGAGTTTTGAACATCGATTTTGAATTTTTAGGTATGTGACGAGTATTTTGAATTTCGCAGAAAAAATTTAGGGAACCTAGTACCCATTAGGAGACGTAGTAGACAGCTCGACATCTCGAAACACCGATCTAGGTAAGAATCCCTCACTTAATTCTTCGTTATAGTAAATTAAGACTTAATGATATATAGTTTTATATTTTTGTGAAAAATTAGAAAATCCTAAAAATAATTACAGATTACTAATGGAGGCGGAACTAGTTAGTTCATAATTTTTTTGATTTCCTGTTTATTTTTCTGTACTGTCCTAATTGCTCGATTTTTATATAGTACATATTCTTAAGTTATAGTTCAATAGTCTTATAAACCTATCTGATTATTTTGGTTATATACTATCAATATGAATGTAGTTTAATTTATCTGTATGTGTGATATGAGATATTAGTATGAGTTCATTGGTTGTTTGTTGATGAAAATTTGTATGTGAAAGACTTGTTTGTTACCCAAAAAAAGAGCAGACGGATCCAGTACATAAGGAACCCTACCGTGAACGTTACTTCAGTCGAACAAGACTGGAAAGTCCCTTACTAAAAAGATTTAGGAGATATAGTTTACGTTCATATTGGACGAGATATTGAGGTGATGGAATGTTTGATGCCCATTATTGGACGGGGTATGGGGACCGGTCAATTAAAAATTTGGATATTAGGTTCATGAGTAGGAGGGACTATGGATCCCTAGGGGTACCAATAAGTAGGTAAGAAAGGAAAGCTATTATTTCTTGTTCTCTTATTGTGAAAATAAAAAGTAATATGAATAAGGGACTTCATAGGTTGTTTTTGGAAAATTCGCTATGGTAAGTATTAAACAAATATCTTCAAGTTTCAAATATATTTAAATAAAGCAAGAGCTTTATTAGTTGCTTTTTTTTATTTTTTTACCAATCTTTAGTTTTCTGTATATGTGATTAGTGTGATATTCTTATTGGGTTAATGTAGTTTACCATTTCATTAACTATTTCAGATCAAGAGGATCAAGATCCAGATTCCGATTAACAAGATAGTTGTGAGTAGTTCACTATCCGGATTCCCTTTAAGTGCTAGTGAAGGTTATCATAGGATGTTTAGCTATTCGTTTTTTGCTTTATTTCTTTAATTTCTGTTTGTCTTTTAGAATAAATATTCCCGTAACCCTATTGGATATTCAGAATTATTATGTAAGGAATGTAAACTCTAACTGTAACGCCCAAATAATTTCAGCATTTTTATTATTATTTTTATTATTTTTATTTATTTAGTTTAATTTATAATTTAAAAAAAAAAAGCGTCACGTCAGCAGCCACGTCAGCGGCCCAGTCAGCAGCCCTGACCAACCAGGACGCGTGGCAAGACCACGTCGACCAGGGAACGGGCCACGTGGGCGATCCGCGTACGCGCGATCGGACGGCCCAGATGCGTCCCCGCACGCATGGACGGCCCAGATCAAGCGTGCGCACGGACGGCCCAGATGCAATCGCATGGACTGCCCAGATGCACGCGCACGGACGACCCAGATTCAATCAAAAACAGACAGTCCAGATTTAATCAAAATGGACGGCTGTGATCAAAAGGCAAAAGGGTATAAATAGAACCCCCACACCTGACCACAAAAACCCTAGCCGCCTGCCCTCGCCGGAGAAGACGAACCAGACGCCGGAGGAGCCGGCCGCCGCCACCCGCCGCCGCACCGGGGAGTTTTTCGACCGCCGATCGAGGTAAATTTCATACTCCTGACTCCTTTTTCCACGCTGAGTTCCCTTGTGGCCAAATCGGAGCCAAAATCCCGACCAAACGGCCGTAAAACACGGCCGAAACCCAGCAGCGCTGCCGCGCCCCACCTCGATTTTTGCCTCCGATGAGGCCCTTCCCGGCCTCCGTTTGATGCAATTTTTATATCACCGTGATCACCATTTTTTTCTCTACAGGTTGATCGGAGCCGAATCACCAAAACACGAACCTCGCCGGAGAGCCGCCGCACCCGAGAGCACTGTCGCTGGTAAGCTTCGGTTTTTCGTAATTTTTTTGGCCCCCCGAGGGCCCTAGGGTTGTTTTATCACAGGGACCGATGCAAGTGTGGCCGAATTCGGCTGAAAATGGCCAACCCGAGGCGAATTGTCGCCGCAAGCGGCGGCGCCGTCGCCGGAGCACGGCGGAGCCGCCGTGCTGGAATTGCGATATTGGCCGAAAGGGGTCCTGGGTCTAATTTGGGATTTTTTGGAACACGTGCAGGTACCAGTAGTGTGTTTCAGTTCTCCGGAAAAAATTCAAGAAAAATTAGGGACAGCCTGTAGACGCACTGTGGAGCCGTGTTCGGACCCCGAAACGAGTAAGGACCCCTCACCCTACTTCGTATCACGGTATTAAAGTTCAATAAATGATAAAATGGTATCTCATGAATCAACAGATGTGTGAAATTGTTTTAAGTCACTAATGGAGCCCGAGTCTGGTGTGTTTGTCTGTTAGCTGTTGTTTGGCCTATTTTACGGTTTTAAAATGCAGTATGAGGTCTTATATTTTCATTTCATAGTTTCGTGTGCACATATTACTGTTTTATTGATTATGGTTGAATGACTGAGAACCCGATGTTGTGTGTTGTCTTGTTCGGCATAAATTACTGGTTTGCTTGTTTGTTTGCGAATTGATGATGCTGACTGAGGGAAAGGGGAATGAAAGGTTATGTGAATTGATAATTGTATAATGTGGTCAGCCTGACTAGATATCCTGGGAGATGGTGGACGAACCGGGTCCGTAGGGAACCCTACCGGGATCGTGGTATCTCATACCGGACAGGGTATGGAGATCTTATGTGTTTTGGCACCCATACCGGACGGGGTATGGGGACGGCCCGTTTCACCCTCATACCGGACGAGGTATTGAGGTTTATAGTTTTGGCGCCCATACCGGACGGGGTATGGGGACAGCCCTGGAATCTGATTACAAGTGTTAAGGGTTCACGGGTAACGGGACCCCTATGGATCCCCATGGATACTAGTAGGCTGGTAAATAAAGAAAAATATGTTGTGTAATGATTGAGATGCAAAAGACGTGATAAGTATTATGTCATACAGTTTCTATGATTTCGTGATGATGATAATGTTATTGCTTTCGTATATTGTTTTGTGAATTTCACTTAGATAAGTGGATAGTAAAGGTTTTTATGTT